AGAGAGAGAGAGAGAGAGAGAGAGAGAGAGAGAGAGAGAGAGAGAGAGAGAAGTAAAGAATATTTTCGTCTTCTTAAATTGAACAAATTTCACACTGTTAAAAGCAGGATTTTATATCTAAAAATATCTTTGAGTATTCTTCGATATACATATACATGTGTATCCTATGTCGATTAATTTTAGAATTATCTCTATTAATGAATATAAGTTTCAACTTAAAAGAAATAAATCTCCAACTAACTTCGAAGCAACTTCCTTACGAGACCCCGAAACTCGCGCTGTCGTCATTAATGCCACAATATTTCAAGCCAACTGAGTCTGACATTATCAAATATGTCCTACCGAGAGAACGTAGGCGAGCCTTATCGAAGTAAAGTTTCCAGTCTCGTGCCCTCAAAAAAGGGTTCCGGCTTTAATCGCGACGAGTTCGGCCGTGTCGCTTAGTCATATGCATTTCTATGAAGTTGTCTCGACTTCTGTACACTTTTGTCTGTGCTTTTCCACCCCGACGACATCTACGTCTGCTGGCAGCGATCTCTTGTAAATCCGTTGAACCCGCTGTATCTTCGCGAAGAGATAAGCCGGCGTGGAAAGTATCAGAACACAGAAAAGTGAAAAATCAAAGACAACCGAACGAGAATAATGTATTTTTAGCTAACTTTTATTTTTTATTTTCTAGAATCTCTTGTTATTGGTTTCCTCAAACTTGGTTACCGCAAATATCTTTACATTTTATAATAATTTTCTTTTTCTTTTTTAATTTAAATTGGTGTAACATTTGAAAAACTGATAAGAATTATAGTACAGTTTGGCGGAGCGTGGTAAAATGTATATGTACCACGCTCTACCATTCGCTCGAGAGGCATGCAACTTAATTGATCTCCCGGGTAACGAGACGGTAATAAATCGGTAATCCAGAAATCCGTAGCAAGTACGATGAAAACGGAGATGCACTGCGGCCGGTCTCTCAAAAATGAAGAAGATTACAGACAAGATTATGGGAGACAGCAGAGGAGCAAGCGTGAATAAAGCGCGGATGGCGAAGATAGTCGAGCAAGATTTTGGTGACTGAATTATAGAGCGAAATCGCTCTTTGCGTCTATGAATATTGGAGCCTTCTTGGAAATATAATCTATAATTCATTACAAGCGAAAACTCGTCAGCCTAAAATTAATTGAATCGGTTTTTCCACAAACTTTTCGACGAGTCATTTAAATTGCGAACCGAGTTTTTATTGACGACTTGTCCGAAAAACTTTTTTCCAATATAACATCTATATGATCCATACATAAAGAATTAAAGAATAATTTAGAACTAAAAAAAATCTTATTTTTACTTATAGTTAGAATTTTTTGTTTAATTAGAATTTGTAGTTTTAGGTGGTATTTTTAATTTCTACTTGTTACCTCGATATTTGCTATCGTCCCATTTTCAGAATTTTAATCGTTTGGTAAATATCATGATTTTTATTGAAATAAAGGTTAAAATTACAAACCTTAATACAATCATAACAAAAACAGAAACAATGCCAATTTATTCAAATCTATTGATCGACACATACGGCACTAATGACGAGAAAAAGAAACACAAAGGTAGATGGTTTTGTCCTACAATTTCGCAACTGCATTTTTCCTCTTAATCGAAAAATGACAAACTTTTTACAGCAACCACGTTTGGTTACCTTTTAAATAAACTTTTCGAAATTTATATTTCATCCGCTTGGACTCTCTCTCTCTCTCTCTCTCTCTCTTTCTCTCTTTCTTTCTGTTGTGTTTTAGTGGGAGATTATTAATCTTTCCGAGGGAGATTATCCCGACAAGCTGTAGGGTAGAAAAAAGATTGCGAGGGTGACCTGCTCTCCCGGTCCCGGTCGCGAGCAGGTGCGGGCACCTGCTGGACGAAAAAGAGAAAGAGAGAGAGAGAGAAAGCGATCAACATCCCCATGATCGCGGACATGGGAGAGGAGGACGCGTCTCGTAATCTATGCGCGCCAAGCGCGTGCAGAAGCGCCAGGCCACCCCTGCTCGGGCTGCGGAGGGTAGTAGAACTACGAGGTGGCGGGCAAGGAGCCACAGTTGGTTGCGGGCTGTCGCCCTGAAAGCAAGCACGCGCGCTTCCGCGTCCCAGGTCACGGCACGCGACCCTCGTGATCGCGTGATCGCGCGTAACGAAATCGCGCGCGTCGCATATCGAGCGGATCGGTGCCGACCAGGCGATCGTCGCGGACGACGGACGACCGAAACGACGAACGATGGTCAGTCCGCCAAGGTCTTGTGGACACGCAACAATACACGGCACGCCGTATGACAGTGACGACGATCGGCGACGTTTCATGTACATCCCAGCGTCGCTTCGATTTTTGATCAGCTACTGATTTATTTCTGACAGCGCGTTGATAGTTTTTGTGTTGATTATAGTTTGCGTTTCTCTTTGCGCGCACGGCTCTTCAGCGTGTGAACGGTGGAAATCTCGGTAAAATGAATCGTGAGCGGGACGCGGATATGCTACGTGATAATTGCTTGCTCCAGATGGGTGCGGTAAATTGAATCGTGCAACTGTGTTCATGTGTTTAAATATCATACGTTGATAATTCATTATCTCGACAAGGAAGAGAGAGGGAGAGAGAAGGGGAAGGGAAGGGGAAGGCAGAGAAGGAGGGAGAGGGAGAGAGATCAAGCGGATCTCGCGAGTTTATCAGAGAGGAAATCGAGAAAGATTGTGAAACCTTATATACGTATTGGTGAACACGTATATTGTGTGACAGGCATTACAGGCAATTTAAAAAAATCTTAAAATATTAAACAATAACCGAAAGTTTACGGAAGTGATGCGCGGAAGAGGGATCTGATGACAAAGAGTTCAACGGACACGCGATCTAGTCATGGAGAAGAGTAAGCGAAACCGCCGTTCAGATGGATCGTCATATCGCGCGAAAAAGAGGAACGCTGAGATGCCGGCGCTTCACGCGCGAACACTACAAACGGAGCAATCTTTTTGAGTCCGCGAAAGAACGAAATTACTTTTTTTTCTAACTCGACAAATTTAGCAGTATATATACATATATGCACGTGTATATACCCGAGCGAGCTTCCGAACAATTTCGTTAAGTGTGCGCAAGTAAGTCATTCTAGTTAATCGCCCTTTAGCAAGGAGCTTTAATTCGAGCTAACAATAAAATAAACTGACGACGTCATGAATGCGGCGTGCGAAAAATGATTTCACTGTTAATCGCAACGGACACGAGTGCCGGGCAGGTTATCGGTGGGTGATCGGTGGGTGATCCGCGGGTGATCCGAGGGGAGAGAGAGAAACCTGATGTGAAAAACCGAACGCGATCAATCTTCGTCGTGCGAGGTCGTGAAAGGCCAAAAGATGTTCCCGCCATCTCGTCCGCTCGACGCGCGATAGTTCCGGTTTGCAAATTCGACAGGTTTATAATGTCGCGACCGGACCCGTCGGACTTGATAATCGAGACTATACACGGCGCACGCATGTATGAAACGCGCGACGGATGGTATCGCGCTTGAATGACATGGCACGGCCATGTCAAAGTTCGCGTTCGTTGTTAGAGTTGTCGGATCTCACGACAATTTAATTGTACAAAGCGTCGGAAAACATTGTTAAACGTTGTTGATTCTGTTTTCGCGGCCGTAGAGATAGCTAAGGGTCTTCCCGACGCAGCTTTAGTGGCGTTAAGAAGGATTAAGGCTTGTCTATTGCCGCGCGCGAATTCCCCTGTGCACAGTGCACACACATCAGTAATCCTCTGTGATTTCGCGTTAAACCTCAACAGCAATAACGAAGCAATCATAAAGTGCATTAAGGAAAGCATGCAGCATCATTCTGCGACAAAAATAATTTTGTCTCCTTGGGAAGAATCGACGAAGCGTATTCATAATAATTTCAGGACTGATAAATTATTGGCCGTCGGAAGCTCCCATTTTCTGTTAAGAAGATAATGATCAAGATTCGACGTGAATAAATAACAAGAGAGGCCGAAAAATAGCGAGAATATACCGTACATTTTTTCGACCGGTAATCATCGGTAAGGAACTCCGAGCAATGCTTACACAAGCGCTTTAACAAATTTTGTCGCGCTACACGAACGCAAGTAACGGTTTGTGACGGAGACATTAGATCTTGCTGCGGTTGCACTATTGTTTGGAACGTTTTAGAGAAGCATGAAAGAAAATCTTTTTGCCACGAGGTGAGATTAACAGCAGCGTTGCCCGTTGGAAAGGCAAGTGGGTGAAAGGAAAAGACCTCGGCGATTAACGATAACGAGCGACGAACGCCGAGGGAAAGAAACCATTGGAGACGCTGTACTGAGAGGAAGGGCGATACGACAGATACATTTTGCAACGTAGCTTAAATAACGATTATCCGCGTACAGAGCGGAGAAAGAGAGACGTTTTTCGAATCGAAAGGAGACTCAAGGGAATCACGGGACGGAATTTCATTACCGCATTAGTCCGAATAAATACTCGAAGGATTTTCTTAGGTAAGATCGATCGCAAGGTCCCAGAAGTCTGCTCGTATTCAACATCTATATCCTCCGGAGGACCAGAACGAGGGTATTTCCGAATCTCTCAATCTTCCGTCTTCCCTGCAGCTTTCTCTCACTATCTCTTTCTCTTTCTCCGCTGTCTCGTCTTTCCTCTCGCCTGTAGTGCATATCCAAATTCTCCTCTCCGATTTGAGTTGCCTGATAAGTTTCAGTTGCTCGTGTCATATCGCGAACATTATGCATGACCCGACCGTCGAGTACCCGCATTTGACGTTCACGATCGTTTCACGTCTCGTGAAAGTAACAGCTTTGGCAAACGTGGATAATTCTGAGGGTTGGTTTAGCCTGCGAAGTTGAGTGAAATCAACGAGGGAAGCACGGTGATCCTACGGAAAGACCGAGACGTCGCGTCGTTCGGTTAGAGAGATAGAAAGACACGAATTCGTTACAGTAGAATCGTATGATAGGCGACAATGAGAGGACGAACGTGGAAAAGGCGAGGACAATTCAATGTCCGCTGAACGAAAACTCGTTGGTGTCATTTTTTGAAATATCAAGAACTTTAACGAACGCTTCGGAGAACGACAATTAACGATGACAAACGTTAAGACACGAATTTGGAAGCAAATGTCGCGTTACGTCTTACAATTAGACGCGATCAGCAATTCCGGCGACGACGGCCAGGTCGGATAATCCTATCGACGATATCCGTGCCGAGTGCCGTGAGGGAATAATCTCTCGTGAGAGAAAAGGTGATAAGATTACGACGGGCTGAATATTTCACTTTTTCTCTCGCATCGTTCGGACGGCGACGAAAATCCTAATACGATAGAACGTGCAAAATAAACCCTACTATTGTCCCAAAATAATAATTCCGGTAATCCACAAGGGAACGACGTGTTGGAGATCGGACTATTAAACTTCCGATAGTGCTACGCGATATTTTATAGTGGTTTGCGGTCCCAGGACGATCGTTGTCGCGTGAACGCGGATTTCGGAGACCATGGACAAGTCGCGTGCTCGGACGATTGTCCGGCAGACAAGGAGCCGCTCATCAACCGTAACCGGAAAGTTGGTGCCGGGATGTTGCACGCCGTTATGTTAGGTAGCGGTCCAGGACGGGGGAGACGCGAGTGGTATCCAGGATTTTATCTCCAACGTCGTCGTCTTGCCTGTAAGATGAATCGCGGCGAACAGGAAACTCTCTTCCGGCAAAGCCGTCAGATCACGCGGATTGTACCTTCCCGTGAGGACCTTGTATTGAGTGTCCTCAAGTCGCCAATCAATCAGCAGCAGCAACAGCAGCAACAACAACAACAACGACAGCAGTGTCGACATCCGTATCAGTCGCACCCTCACGGTCACTTTAACTGCCAAGGTCATCCAAATAATAAGTGCAGTCATTCAGGTATACGAGACTGAAACATTGTTCTCGTAATCCTCGGTGATCCGCGTGATTCGCGTTCATTACACACATATATTGTTATCGCCCGAGCCTTAAGTAATTTCACGAACGAGCGTGACGTGGATAACCGTTGTACTGGGTCACGTTGCATTTGTTGCACGTCATAGAATATTCATACCGTGACTAACCAAAGCTCTCTCTGTTTAAATTTCAATTAGTTTTGCGAAGAAAATAAAGAATCAGTTCAAGTGAGTTTAGAGTTTAGAGTTAATCGAATACAGAATAATTGACAAAATTACATAGATGGAGCATAAATCGGAGTTTTTAATCTTTTCTTTCCATCTCGTTAAAAGAAAAACCCAAAGTTTAAATTTGCCATAAAATAAGAAATGTACGTTTGCTATATACATTTATGTAACTATGCATTTAAATATAACTATTTTTTTGCATTTTCTACACACAGAAAAATATCGTTCTATAGCCAAGAAAAGCAATTACTCATTTTATTTTATTTGGTTTGAGTAACAGTTTTCTTTAACAAAGAATATTTTCTTAATATTAGTTTCTTAATATACTCATCATAAGTATTAGAAAAGCTTATCATCATGTGCTTAAAAGAAGAATTTATTCTTCTTTCAAGTATATTCCGAAACTTTATCTAAGAAAAGCAACATAAACTTGATTTGAATATTTACTGATTTTTTAGGTAAGAATATGAAATACTTGGCTGTAGAACGACATTCTTCTAGGTTAGGAGGTTTTCGTGCGCGGTCCGGAGGGATACAGTTTAGAATATTGAAATTCCTGTCATCAGGTGGACTTGAACCCGGTTCCTCGTGGTTATGAGTCTGATACTTTATCACTAGGCCACATCTCTGATTATATTTTTAGTGCTGCAGTATCTAGTTTTGACAGAAATAATTCATTAATTTCAAGTATATTCTGTAAACTTTATCTAAGAAGCCACATAAGCTTGATTTGAATATTTACTGATTCTTTAAGTAAGAATATGAAATACTTGAAATCAATAAATTACTTCTGTGAAAACTAGATACTGCAACACTAAGAATATAATCAGAGATGTGGCCTAGTGATAAAGTGTCAGACTCATAACCACGAGGAACCTGGTTCAAGTCCACCTGAGGACAGGAATTTTTATATTCTAAACTGTAAGTACTACCCCTCCGCACAGCGCACGAAAACCTCCTAACCTACATTCCACTTAGGAACTAAAGAATTAAAGAAAATTAAAAAAATAAAAATAATATTAATTGTAATCATCAAGAATACAAATTCTTTTTTGAAGTAAACGATTATTCTAGATGAATAAAATTTTTACTTGATTCAAATAACGGATAAACTTCTCTCAAGAAAATGTAATATCTTTATTGAAGTATATGCTTCTCTTCCGTGGACTCTATATTGTAAGTAAACAAAATATTCGTATTAATTTACACCCAAAAAAAAATATTCTGCAGTTTAGCGGTTCCTGGTTCATGCTAGAGGATTTTCCTCTGAAATAGGGCCTTAAGAAGATGTTTTAAACTGTAGAGGAATATCCTCTAATCATGAGACTCTAGATTCAAGATTGTGCAGTCCTCTTAATATTAGAGGACATTGATTTCCGATATTCACCCGAAATAAATAAAAAAAATTATTTATTTTGAAATTTTATTACTATTTTATAACTAAATTTGTTTCTTAAGATGTAGTCTATGATTATAAATATTTTCTTGTATTGGAAAAAACACTTACCTTGGTGGGATCGAACTCGGGACCTCTGGATCGTGAGCCAACTGCCTTACATGGTAGACCACTTCTTAATTTGATGTAAGTGTTATATATTGTCTACATAACCAGCGCAAATATATAATTTTCCAAAAATCATCTTAATAAACAAATTCAGTTTAAAAAAAGTAATAAAATTTTGAATTGGATATAAGATATATGATATAATATTTCTTAATGTCGGGTGAATGTCAGAAACCAGTGCCGGCTTATTATGAAATTTTGTGTTCGTAAATATATTTATGAAAATAGTATGTTTATAAAGTTAAAACGTTAAAACATTCTTATCAAATCCTTACAAGGGCCTCAATAGACAAAAATAAGAAAACGTTTCTTATGGCATCCCTAATAAATAATGATCGGGACTTTATCCGGTTAGCCCTAATAAATAAGTATTTATGAAGTTAAAACATCCTTATCAAATCTTTACAAGGACCTTATTAGATAAAAATAAGGTAACCTTTCTTATGGAATCCTTAATAAATAATGATAGGGACCTCATCAGGTTAAAATAAGAAAATCTTTCTTATGGCATCCCTAATATATAACTAATGATCGAGGACTTATGTTATATAAGGCCATTCTTAATAAAGCCCCTTGCACAATACCAGGCAACAGGCAATAGGAACAGGGAATAAAAATCAAAAATCAATGTATAAATGCAGAATAAAAAGTGACACAGGCAATTAGACACAGGAGTTTCCGTCACGTTGGAAATTATGTGTCTATTGCCTGTTGCCAACAAATCATAACATTCGAATATTTTAGGTTGTAATTAACGATTTTTTATTATTTCCTGTTCCTATTGCCTGTTGCCTGGCATTGTGCAAGGGGCTGAACTTTCTACACGGGCGTCTCGTGGTAGCGTACGCATCGCGTAGCTAATAAGACGATCGTCTTTTAACTTTAACGCGCGCGCCGCAAATATCTAGCATATCCTCTTATTTTAAGAGGCTAATAGTAGAATTTACTGTAGAGGAATTTACTCTTGATTATAGCTTACGCATCCACTCATTTATAAAGTAATACGTATTACTTAAAGAAGGATATTCTTCATGTAAGATTTTTTGCTTAGAGGAACTGCTAAGAGGAATTCCCCACTTATCGGCAGAATATTTTTTTTTGGGTGTAATATTCTTGTTTCAAGTACTAAACTTGCTAAGATCTAGAATATGTTTTGAGTAAATGTGATACTTATGACGACTTTATGGTAGATTTGCTCATATATGAACTTATCAAATACTTGAATCAAGTAATATTAACTTGCAGGTAGTTTATATTTTTCTGTGTGTAGTATATTACCGTATTTTCCCGTTAACAGAAGCAATTTGGGGGTCGTGTAAAATCGTATTAATTCAAAATCATATTTCTTTTAAAGGCTTTCCGCCAAAGAGAACTCGCACGCATTCCGCGGAGTCAATTTATGCATTCTCAATTAATGAAAACGTCGCATGTAGCAACATGAACGAAACGTTTGTTGCATTTTAAATGTATTTTACTTTCTGTGCAAAATGAAAAAGACACGCTAACTAAAATGACAGTGACGACGTATGCATATATTTTTGCGCATGACGGACGAATATTAGATATATCCCTTCTGGCTGGAAGCGAAAAATTCGTATAGCTCATGAATCCGCGCGGCTTAACAGCGGAGAGGCAGAATTGCGAAGCCCGATTTCTGCTTGATCAGAAAGAGAGAGAGAGAGAGAGAGAGAAAGAGAAAAGTGTCTTTTCGCTCGATACTCGAGGCTCGATCCGCGACGCGGTTGGATCCGTTCATGTGACGGAGTTTTAATGTCTCGTCGTTTGAGAGGAAGAGAGAAACGGCGAGGGAAGTGGACGCTTTTATAAATAGAGCTCTGCGGATAATTCATTCGTGTTAATGTACAAGCGCGTGAGTCGGATTTGTGGTTTCCATTGTTCCGCCTTCCCGATAATTCCGCTCTCCTGCGTCCTGTCCTACACATCAGGATAGATATTATGTTATAACGCTACACCATTGCGCGGTGATATTTTGCGTGTAATCATCATTAATTCTTCGCAATGTGTTGAACTTTTAACGATCTTTACGAAAACCGAAAATAACCGAAGATTTTTTAATAGTCAAACTTCTCGGAAAAATAAATTCACGTCTAGCTTTTTTTGACAATAGATAAGATTGACATTTTATTCAGGACTGAATAATTAATAATATAAATATTTTCTGAATGTAAACATTTTTACTGTATTGAAGTATTTTAAAATTCACGAGATCGATTAAAGTATATGCGCCATTGACCTTTATACAGAGGCTGCTTATACAGTCGCCAATACAGTACGACAATCGTAATGTGGCAAGACGTGAGAAAAGCACAACATGTATGTACAACATTGATATTTCGTTACTCCACCTTGTAGACATCAAAGTTATTCGCGTCTGGCATTCTCTTATTTATTAAATGCATCTTTTCTATTTTTTGTGCGAGACACGGTAACCATATGGTATACAGGTCCCTTTTCGGGACGATCTACTCCGTTTTTAATCTTTCCATTTCCCATTGGGGATATTAAAGAAACTTTTACGAGTCATTCATTTCAAAAAAGCTGAGCGAAGAATCTGGACTGGCTGCGGTAATCGCGCTTGCTGCCTCATTTCTTAAAACAAACGTACTCTTTTTGTAAAATTACATGTTAAACTCGAAAATTATCACAACTATAATGAGATTATTGTTATCCAGGTGGCGTATGGTATAAAATTTATTTAATAAAACGAAACAAACTAATCATTAATAATAATTTATTACCTATAGTTTCGAGATTTTTTGATAGAAAATAAAGATTGAGATAATATACACGTACTTCTTTAAATAAATTAATTAGAAGAATTATTTGTTTACAGAAAAATCTAAAAAAGAATATTCAGGCCAAGTATAAAGTGGTATATTCATAGATATAATATCTATAGTCTGTTCACTGTTCTAGTGTTTGTTTTATTTATACGAGTCTTCTTATTTAATTTAAAAAATATCCAGGTAAATTTAACATACATAAAAAATATCCTCTGTCTTTAAAACTCATTTTTCTATTTTTGTTTTATCTGTGCAAAAACTTAAAATGCGAATAAGCTAGAAAAATTATTTTAGTTAAACATTTTAAAAATAAGATTCTATAATTTGAGTCTATCAAAAAATTTAAAAAAATTGAATTGTTTGAGCGAAAAGAAAATGCAAATTTCTGTACAGACAAGTAAATTATTTTTATAATCTTTTTAGATTTATAGGTTAATGAATTTTATAGGACAGCCAGAATAAAACAACAATACTTTTTCGTAAATTTTGTAGCAGTGGTAACATGAACTATTTGAATTTCTTACTATTATTTATTTAAAATGTTATGACATAAAGCAGGACACACACACACACACACACACACACACACACACACACACACACACACACACACAGTTTGCAGAAATATAGATGTAATTAATATATATTAAAGATTCTATAAATATTTGTCGGTATCATCTACCTATCGCGCTGACAATATTCAACAGATTTTTGTGCGTTTTTTTGCTTTGGACTAAATGAAAAATCGGATTAAATAAAATTAAAAAGATAAATTATTTATGATCCTCAATAGCTTAATTTGTAACTTCCTCACAGTATAGTGGAACCAATATTTCATTACGAAAGTCTTATTAACCTTAATCTGACAACAGAATTTTTACGAGGCTCTGAAGTTTTAATAGTACACTTAATTTTTAATGGAATAAAACTTTTTCAATATATAACATTCCATATCTCTGGTGAATCTATGGTGAAGTATATATGATGTGTAATGTGTAATCATTTCAGTTCAAATTTTTCAAAATTATGACATGATAGAACATTTTGAAAGTCGGAATTGAATTTAACAAAAATAAATGTTGAGAATAATTACTATTACTTAATTCATATTCTTGTAGATATGAAAAAAGTTATTTTTTGTAATAAAAGCCAAAGTAAAAAAATTGACTCAATATGAGCGCAGAACAAAGAATTTTAACCATAGTTCCGTTTAAATCTCTTTGTTAATTTTCACGTCGTTCTCTAAAATGTTTTATTCAAAGGAGTGTATTTAATAACAGATGTTATTATCGATCCCATTTCGTAAATAAGCTTCTCGATCGCAACCGGGTTTTCGCGCGCGCGTATTATATGATGGGATATTATTCCGCGGTTCTCTAGTGGTTAGAATTGCAAATGCCTCAGTCTGGGCCGCGTCAAATATTTGAATAATCTCCGCACGATGACTGATCTATCTATTTACCGTCGACGACTCATCCGAGGTTCATCAATTGAATCCTCTCATTGGCGGTCCTCGAAAACGTAAAATCACGAGATCGAATTATCTTTGCGTTCGCGAAACATGACGCGATTGATATCTATTATCATATTACGTGTAACGGTTAAAGCTGAGTTTCTGCAGTTTGCGATGCGCGAGAATTTAATGAAACAATCCTCAAGTTAAATGAGGAAAAAGAAGTATTCTATATCGCGTTACTCTCATGAGCCTCAAGGATCGAGCAACGACATATGAAAATCGGCACATCGCGATCGCGGCGCAATCTCTGACTCCCAAAATTGGCCCCAATGTCAATCCTGGAAATGCCCAGGTGACAACGAGAGTCTTCCACGAAGCAAGGACCAATGCTCTAGACACGCCGAAAAGCGGTACGGTGCCGCGACCGCCTACGCTGCCCTTCGGGGCAGCGAGGACGAGCTCGTGGCTGAGCAGGGTCTCGAGGCGGAGGACGCCGCGTTGAAGACGCCCGGTAGCGAGACCGAGGACACCGAGGATAACGGCGCGAACGCGGAGGAACCACCATCACCCGCGCGCCGTTTCACTTTCCTACGTCGCTTCCGCTCGCCGCGCTTCGGCGAGGCGCACCACAAGCGGGTGCCGACGCCCATGAAGCGGAAATATCGGCACAAGAAGAGCAAGGATGACATCATTGACAATGACGTGACCGGCGCCGAGGAGCAACCGCCGAGTCCCGATCCCGAACAGACCGGCGTGCCCGATCCTTACTATCCGATCTACCTGCCGATCGATCAGGCCTTCAAGGCTAAGTACGTGTTCCATCATAAGAGGGGCAAGACCTTTCAGGAGCGCCTCTATGTGTTCCTCGAACATCCCGGCGGCTGGCTGTGCTTCATCTATCATTGCACTGTGTGAGTATTCACTTCCGTTTCAACCATAGACCGATGTCATTTTTTACGTTCTGCAACTAACACGTTTTTCGACATTTCTTATATATAACTATAAACGATTTGCAAAAACACATATTTATGTACACTGCTAAGACTTTAACTAAATGAGCTAAACAAGAGCTAAACGTTAGAAGACACGAATAGAAAATGCCGCGTCAGAGGCTCCTCCGGTTTCCGTTCGTCGTGCGGGCATCGATTTTGGCGTCGTAGCCTTTGAAACCTGGCGTGCCCCAAATCCTCGTCAACGTCGAGGGCTTCCTCCGTCTGCAATCGAACATTCGCTCGATTCAGTCTGTCTATCAGGCGCAATCTTTGATTTTTGATCGGAGAAACAGATCCCGCATAGGACTTTATTGCTCATCACTGATTCGATAAACGATATAACAAGCATCGACAGTCGAATATACCTTGAGAATATTCGATTTCGAAAAAGTCAAGATAAAAGAATTTTGTATATTCTTCGCGAGAGAGAAAGGAAGAGAGAGATTGCTGATATCTTATATTTTCGTCGTTTCACAAGGAATTCATATATTTTATTAAATGCTAAGCGACTAGATCTCATAACTTACTCTATTGTATCTTACAGAATTGTTAACAATTTGCTGGACTGTTACGTATGAACGAAAAGCATTTAATTTTTATCAATTCAATAAAAAAGCTGCTGTAATTTTCAAATTTTGACTATAAATACGACATTAACTTTTTATAATTTTACAAATATTTTAATGTCTGATAGTTTATTATTTATATGTCATATCATAATAGGCTTACCTACTGTGTGTCACGAGAAAACCCATAGATCGAATAGATTACTTTATCCTTCGTATTCTTCTATAGTAGGTATATCTATACTTTAAATAATATATTATAATTCAATCGTGATACGCATATTTGTGCAGTTTCATAAATTTATTCTTATATTTCATTGAAAAACGCGAACAAATCAATTTGAAATTTCTTGAAACGCAAAACATGGCAGAAAGAATAACTCTTCTCCCACATGTGGTATTTTGCATTTGAATATACGAAGAACGTACGCAGATAATTTTATGGGAATAAACACATTCGTTACTGTATATGAAAATGTGTTTTCATTGTGACGCTGCGATAAAACAATAAAACCGATTAATTTTATCATAAAGTTCTCCTTAAAATTAATATTTACGCCTCAATTTCTATGCGTTAAGAATATTTATGTTGCCTCGATAACATCCTCATTTATTATACATATATTCGCAGAAATTTTTGTCCCATCATTGTCTCATAAAATGATGATATGTTGCTATAAAGTTCGTATTATATCTTAAAGGGGAGGACCATGTAGTGCCCTCACCGATTTAAATAAATTTTTAATATGTTGTAGGGTTAAAAAAAACTCCCCCACTGATTAATGGTAAAGTAGCACGATGCAATACTCGAGCATTCGCAAGATATTTGCATAGATATTTCGATGCAAATATCTTGCGAATGCTCGAGTATTGCATCGTGCTACTTTATCATTAATTAGTGGGGGGTTTTTTAACCCTACAACATATTAAAAATTTATTTAAATAGGTGAGGGCACTACCTGGTCCTCCCCTTTAAGACAAACTGTTTGTTAAGCTATTATGTCACCTGAATCTAATCCAACTGACAAATTACTTGACAAACTACACAGGCGTGATACACTAGACGTTATTATTCTACTGATTGTTGTAAAGCTTTATACTTAGTAGCTTTATACTTAAATTTGTATGAGAACATTATTAGGATGTATATATAACATACAACCGACCATCATGCCTATCGATCAAGGTCGCATATATTCCGCGTATATTCCGCGACGATTAAATGTAAAAATATTCATAGACAGTTGTGTGCGATAATCTTCCTACGATCTTATCTAGTGAATAAATTTACTGTAAAAGCTGTGAAAGCCACCAATGTTCCAGCAAAATACTAAAAAATTTATTGGAAATTTAATATTAGATGCTATACATGCATGCACACAGAAAGAGAGAAAAAATTACGTCTGAGATTTTCCAATATTGTTTTGATATGACACATCTATACTTTTCAACGTATTAGATTATAATATAAATTCACTGATATATTAAATTTTTATTAGAGAAATGTCTACTAAATCAATTATATTCGACAATATCTTTTCAGGTAATAAGTTTACTTTATTTATTAATTTTATTTGTTACTAGCTGGTTACCCGGGCTTCGCCCGGGAGTCGTTTTTTCTTCAAACGACTTCATTTGTGTTTTAATATCCTTAATCGAAAAAAATTCCTTTATCAATTCGGATACCGATTCCCAAGAAGATCGGTAACAAAAAACTATACAGTTTATAGCACTCTCTAAGAAATTCTACCCCTATTTTATACACAATTCTTTAAGATTCGGTCAATTATTTCCCGAAAAATTGGAAAAATTTCGGATACCGGTTCCCAAAAAGATCGGTAATGAAAAACTATACACTCTATAACACTCCCCGGAAAATTCTACCCCTATTTTATATACTTTTGGTAAAAATTCGATCGAATAGTTTAAGAGTGTATAAAGAACATACATACATACATACAGACATTCTATTTTATATATATAGATTATATTAATAAAAGTAAGCTAAGGTTACATTTTAAAACATGTTACATTATGTTTTAATGTAAAGTATAATTATTTCGACATACTATTTAACATATGTATACTAATATTAGAAGTTTTCTTAAACTCAATTGTATCTGGAAGTATCCAATTATATACTGCGCATAATAAAAGTACACTATATTTACGAAGTATGATTCTTCGATAGCGCAAAAGACCTAAAAGTTTCGTACAATTATAAATTAATATAAATCCCGTGTCAAAAGAACTTTCCGTAAAAATAAACGTAAAAGTAAACGTAATTTCATCGAAGTACGAATAGAAATATATATTAGACATATATTGGATACATATTGGATATATCGGTTTAATAAAAAGTTTTTTACGTTAAAATTAAAACGTTAAATTTAAAAAAATCCTTTGAATGAATAATTTTCATGAGCAATGAATTCTATATCTTTTACAAATTTTTCGTGACCGTTAACTATGAATCCCTAGAAATCCATATTTTTAAATGTCAAATGTTCTTTGATGTATTTCGCTGCAATGCATATGCACAAACGTGCATTTACTATAATGTTGTGTCTTTTATAATAAAATATAATCTCCGTGCAACAAGATTTTTGAGGTCGTGCATAATATCGAATTCCGATTGCAAATATAGTCTCGCGAATGTGTTCGTGAGAAGAATTACGACATCCATGTATAATACATATAGATATATTGAGATTCACCTGCACGCTATACCTTTTAGTGCGCAGAAATTCGCTTTTCATCTTCTCGGCTAATTTTTCAAATCCTTATTGTAAATCTTAATCGACCGCTTTATCGATGCAGTGCATCGCGCGAACTAATGACGTAAAAAAAAAAAAAAAAAAAAAAAAAAAAAGACGACATGAGATAGCAAAGCAAACCCCGCGTATACGAGGGCATGAACGATAATTGCTACGATCTAACGATCGATCGCAGCGGCGCTTTCGTTGTTTGTACAAGTAATTTATTATTGAGCGTTACCTCGTTAAGCAACGGGACGAGCGTGCGGCATTAACGAAAGCGCGCGGTCTCCGCGCCGTGTAGTAGCTCTTTAAGGTGGCGTGTCGAGGGCCTATAATTCCGACGTATGTACAACGCTTCGTGGTTGCACGGGTCACCTTCATCGACCTACTATGATAATTGTCTAACATATTCCCCCTTTTTTCCCCGAGCATCGCTAGGAACTCATCCATCTTCCGCCAGGCGTTGGACAGACACCTCGCTACTCGCAAATATAAGCATACTTTTTGTTTGACCGTGGAAATGCCAAAGTCACGAAAATGTCCGTTGAATAAAACGCAAAATAACAATCCAACGTATCATCGGGTCTTGGAGAACTCCTGTTTTTTTTATGCAACGAATCTTTTCCTCTGAGAATTTCTTAATGTTCCAGGTATCTTTGTTCAAGTTTTTTAAGAATAAATTGGAGCATTTTTTTACGTCAATTTAAAATAGATTTAATTATCATCTGGATTTTTTAGTCCAACTTTTCTACTTACTCGTAAAAAATTTTAAGGCAAAAAATTAAGAGCTGCTATTTATTCCAAACTTGAAAAAGTTATACTGAAGAAAGTAAAGAAAAAGTAATAAATAGGCTTTACAGCGCGTATAAAATTTTCACCTTTTAACTTCTAAAAGATAGAACAAAGAAAATAGAATCTTCTACAAACAAAAAAAGCTGTTAAATATTGAAGAGAAATCTTTTAAAATGATACAAAACTTATTCATAAATCTAAGCTAAACTTACCTAAAAATTTACAATTTTAAACAAGATCTAGCACTATTTGCAAGAAGAAAAAATAAAATTTTTGAAGAGACAATTTAAAGATTAAAATCTCCGAATAACAAAATTTCCCTGAGCGTGCCCAATTCTCCAGGTAGAAAGAGACTCTCTGAGAATTTTACATTTTTATATATACATATAGTGGACATCGTGTGTATTTAGTGGTAAGGAGATATATACGAAGGATTTAATATCTTGGAAAATACAGAGTTTATTATAGGACATTTTGTAGAATTTAATTGAAAAATGAAACAATGAAATCTAATTATCAATATTAACACTTGCGCACGTCAACGGATGGCTCGATGTGTGGCTTATGGCTAAAAATGTATAAAATGATTGAGTGTGTAGATCCATTGTGCATCCCCTGCATATCAATTAACCTACATGCGATCGAGGGGAGATAGAATGTGCGTGTGTGGTTCCTACAGCAATAATGTCACGTTGTGTCGCATTATTTATTCATACTCATCGCAGTTTAATTACAAAGGGATCTCTCCGAGGGCTCGAAATAACATAAACTTCTCGATACTCCGATCGCACGAGATCGTTCGACATGCGCAAATAAGTATATCTGCGCATTAATCATTCTCTAGAAAATTGAATTTGTCCTTACGCGTGCTGCACTGAATCTCGATTCCCGCGGAATCAACAAATTAACTGACAAATAATGTAATTGTAATTAATTGATGAAGAGAACAAATAATATACAGTATATTGCGCGCGATTGATGAATGCAATTCCCTTGTCGCTCCCGACAAATTGGAAAAATGAAAAGATCAAAGATACCTCGCTGAAAATCAATCCGTGTACGTCTGTTTATGCAACTTTGTAATATTACGCCTTACGCCCATGCTCCGTATTTTATATTATTGTAAATAGATCGCGAGTGTCGCTCATGTCCAACATTCCGTTCACTAAACTACGTGCATTTACGTGCAAATCGGTCGTGATTTTTCAATCGGATTGATTTTACTCTCATTGGTCAGATTCGCGCCTTCTGATCGCGTTTGAATTATTGAAAAATTTAGCAACAACCTTGCACGGCACGATATGTAATCTTCATGGGCATCATTATATGCGCGATATCAATATATCAGCTCACGCGCGCGCGCGCGCACGTGCAATTCTCATCTAAAAATAACACGCCGCACGCAAATAGCTTGCATATGCATTGGGCCTAACAACATGCTGCTATTTACGCCCGTTCGAAAGTAGGCCAGTCGAATTAGAATTATCTCCGTTAACAGGACTTTCTTTTATCTTTTAACGTCACTCAGGACAATACACTTATGTGTCACTGTTAACCATTGCAGCGTTTTAAAAATCACGATAATTGTATTTTTCGACAAACAATTATTTCATTCAAAATTGCAACGAAAAGCTAAAATTAAAGCTTTCAGATTTAAGTGAAGTTGTAATGTAAAACTGTTTTGATGTCATTTTAATGACATATTCTCTCATTTTCTCTTGATTTAATTTCTGGAAATTCAATATTGTTTTATTACATATATAGTTGAAACAAAGGAAAATTATAATATAATAATAATCTATATAATATAATTATAATTATAAATGATGCAAAAGAGAAAGGAATTCTTTGAAGAGAAATTTATTGGTTGGGAGTTGCATTTGCTATGTCTCGAGGTTCAATTTGATATGCAGTAAACGGGCGGATTCCTCCACAAATTCCTTCGCTTTCGAGATTGAATGACTCTTATCCCTCTCGCTCTTATCCTCCCTTCTCGATCACATTAACATTGGGTTAGTAATAGTACGATAATAGATATAAATAACAGGCACCGTAACGCCGATCAATAGGATTACTCGAGCAATTAAATATTTACAGTGGCGTTTCGTGCGCAGCGCGACTTCATTAGTCGGCCGTCTAACGATTGTATGAATGATGCGGCATTAAAGCCGCACGAAAAATCACATACGATCATGCAACAGTCGTATGTATTATACACGCATGGTTGCAGGTTGAAGGTGAGTTTACGAAAAATTTGAAAATTTACTTTATACTGTCGGCTTTTAGAGAAAAAGCATATACGAGTTCCAGGTTCCAGGATTATTTTGTATAAGAAACTGGTATCTAAAATGTAGCGATACTAGCAACTAATAAAATAAAATAAAATAAAATAAAAAAAAAGATGAAAATCATAGGTATACATATGTACGGCGTAAATATGTAAAGTAACCACTAGAACTCGCAACCATGCATGCTTTTATATAGATTAGAGCGTTGTTGCTCTTAAAGTTAAGGCGTTAAAACATGAAGGGAGTACAAATGGAAAAATATACAGCTGTCCGGGAAATAGTTGTAAAAACAGATTATGTAGATGTTTTTAGTATAAAAGAAAAATAGATATAGGTTTCCGGAAATGAATGGCATGTTCGATATGACGGCAGAGTACATCGGGCGCAAAATGAAAAACACTATACCGTGGCAATGTCCGACTGTAGCGTTTTAACTTTCGAGTCGTCAAAAGCAGCAGTTCGATAACGTGGCATATTGTCAAGAATGCGACTCATCTTATTTTGAAAATTCCCGTACAATCACCCCTTTAAAACTACAAACGAAACTAGCGGCGATACAAACACGTACAAACGATTCCGAAACAGCACCCGTTTGCCGATTTAAAATATCTCTAAGAACGGCGAAGATAACTCTTAGCGTAAAATCTGATTTTTATTGCATATTTTTATGCGACTCATCTTATTTTGAAAATTCCCGTACAATCACCCCTTGCAACAAGATGCACAAAAGAATTTTAGCATATCATAGTTATCTGTTATTCGCATGTTGGGCAAACTCGGTTAATTTCGAAAAATTTGTACAAATTTGTATTAGCTAACTTGATGTATCTCCTTACTAATCACACGTACAACTATTCCACAATGTAGAAATATCTCGGGTTCAATTTTAGATGTACAGCAAAAAATGTAACCACGTAACTCTGATAAAAAATTTTTTCGCTTACTTATAAGCATATTTCACTTTCCTTGCACATTATATCTTTGATTTATTATTTTGATTCTTACTAAAAAAAAGAATTGAGTTCAAGTTGGCCGAAAAATGTGACGTTAAGATCATATATACGAGAAGTGCACAAGATGTGTTAAGACATTAATGACAGAAAAGTATTGTACAATATAATGTGTATAAAACATAAAACCAAAAAAGATCTTATAAAATTTTAACAGTTTTAGTTTCTCGCTTATTCGATCACTCGTCCAAAATCAAATGAAAATATAAAGCGTCGGCGAAATGAAAAAAGCAAAGCAAGAGACCTTACGTATATTCACAACGATCGATTTGTTTCGCGGATACGTTGCCGCGTTTTGTTTTGATAATGAATTATTTAAAAGGTTGCGGTGCTTGGCGACAGTTTGAAAGAAATGAAAAACAGCCTATTGAATAATGCACGAATCCGCAAAGTTTTTCAATGAATGATGCCCGCTGGAGTAGTAGATGTACTTCGGTCGATGTATTATATACCTTTCTTTGCAGGACATGAGATCGAAGCATAATAAATGTATATGTAATGCTGTTATTAATATCCTAGAGCTATTTCTCTATATATAAATGTGTACTTATATGATGTAAGAAAAATATAAAAATCCAAGGAAATCGGCCAAGTTAATGACTAGGGCACTAGACAAATAAAGATAACACTAAATGGGGTATGACATAAAGGGGCATCATAAAGTATGACATCGTAATGTGCTACAATTGGTCCTTTTGCCGCTATCAAGATTTTGTATGAAAAAGTTTGTTTCCATTCCTTCTAACAATTAGTGAAAGAACAGGTAAGCTTAGCAGCAGTTTTATTATTCCGAGTATTGGAATTAAAACAAAGTTTTAGCTGACGCGCAAACTGAAATATTATACATAGCCAATATGCAATATATAATACATAGTTAATAATAATGTAATTTATGTTTCAATTCACATTTCAATCATTGAGTATATTCGTTGCGCTGTAATATGTTGGGTTTGCTGTTTAATATCGGTGGTTTAAGCGTTTGTAATTAGAGGTTTAATACTAATTTGGATTATTATTAATGAAAGTTTATTAATAATAATACGAAATTTACATTATACGTCACATAAGGTGATCCAAAACCATCGTATCTCTTTCATATTTATTTCTTATATTCTTTGTTGAGGAGTATCTCCAATATCATATGTCATCGTAATCACATTTCATATTTTCGCGTCAGAAATCAGATTCTACATTTATGTAAAGATCTAAAACTAAAGAAAAATGCAATAGTTCGGCAGCATCAACTTCTTTCTTTAATGATTATTACAAACGTATCACGAAACGTTTTTAATAGTATGAGAATGATTGAGCTAAAAGTTAAAAAAAAATAACGAATAAATTCAACGAATCTAAAATCATTTTAAATGTGAATGTGTATATGAATATGATAGCCCACACTTTTGATGAATCAAATCGCTCGTTCCAGGCGAAATTTTATAGAATCAAGCTTTAATCTATATTTATTATGTGATATAGAGTTAAATTGAGATTTTAAAGTCGTTTTAGATATAAATCTGATTTTAATATTTGATATTCTACGCTTCTAATGAATCGACCTAATCAATTATTTATCTGACTAGAATTTTATAGTAGAACCTCTCTCTCTCTCTCTCTCTCTCTCTCTCGATCAAATTGGTATATTGGCCATATATATATATATATCGTAATGTATTTATGTTTTCAGGTTCATGGTGGTATTGGTGTGCCTCATATTTAGCGTTTTGTCAACAATAGACCAATACAGTAACTTCGCAAACGAAACTCTGTTTTGGATGGTGAGTAGCCCGTGTTCTTTATTAAGTGCATAAACGTATATTAGTCCATAACTGGACAGAATATTAAATGCATATCTAGGTCAAATAATGTCAATAATACTATTTAAAGAAGTACTGCAGAACTGCTAGATTAAGAATATTTTGTCGCAACTGCATCGATTGTATATGCAAAGGAAAAGACATACCTTTGATGTGTACAAAGAGTATACAGATCTAACGAACTATAATACCTTTTATCTATATAGAAGTTCTTTGACCAAGAATCTTTTTTTGATATATCGAGGCGAGTCATCATTTGTTGCAATTGTTTATATATATTTAATATTTCTATAATCTTTGTGCTTATTAGAATTAGTTTGGTAAAAATTTCGGTTTAAGCAAATTCTGCAAATTATTATTCTTTGTTTATTTTTGTAATAGAATTTTAATTACATCTGCTTACACTTGTATATTTTTTGCTTATTCCATGTATTTTTATATTCAAATTTAAAACTCAAACTTAAGTTTTGTTTTCGACGGAAGAATTAAGTACATTTCTGACAGAATGCCATTGATTGCAAAGCATGAAATGTTAAGCACTGACAATGGTCAGGAATTTGTAAACAAGAGTTTCATAACGTTCCGTATAAGAAAGTTAAAGCAAACTTTATTTAATTAGTCTTTGAAAAGAACACTTTAGATTTGTTGGTTCGTCCGAGAATAGACTTTACAACAGTTTCCAAGGAAGAACTTTTTCTCTTCTTCCATCACCGCGTGTCGAAGCGCTGCACAAATAAAATTAATTCTTTCTCTTGTGGCGGATCTGTGTCAGATCACGGTGCACCTGCACGCACCGCAACCCGACTACCACTAAGATTGATAAATAATCTGCAAAAAGCACGGTGGCAAAGCGCCGCGATTTCGCGAGAACGCTCATTTCTATTTGATTTTCTAGAACTTTTGCGTGTAGCGTCGTAATACATAATAAATCGTTAATTTCTATATCGTTATAGGGTTTTCTATAAATGTGTGTATTTTTATATTAAGTTCTTAATGCGCTCTTTTAGATTTCTATTCGACTCTTCCATGAAGTGCGCAGATTATCATCGATATGAAGTCAATGTCATTCGTGAATCGGTATTCCATATTGTAAGAACTTCTGCTCGAGATTTCTTTGTCACCTTTTCCCACGTGAACGCGAAGAAAGTAAGCACGCGTAAAATGCGAAACTCGCTCGTCAATGTGTCCTGGATCATAAAGGAATACAGTATAAGCTCGTTCTCAACAATCTCGCTCATTTTGTTCTAACGTCCTCGTTTTTCTGACTAAGGTATCCCTTTCATGTAACGGCGTTAGTATACAATCGATACAATAGCAACCTCCATCAATATTCTATCGCGTTTGTTACATATTCATTTTAAAGATGATTTGCTAATGTCCATATTAATCTATAGAACTATTCCGCCACATTTTCCTCCCATCGACGTTGGATAATTAAACCGTCAAATTATCGACCATATACTAGCGCCATTTAATCCCTTCCGGTCGAAATCACGTATAAACCTTATTCTAGATATATTTTTATATAAAATATAGATTTATCGTTATAATAATAATAGAATAAAAAATCTTTAATTTATAAAGAGAAAAAGATAAATGGATACATAAATAGAAAGAAAAATTTTAAAATCTCTCTCTCTCTCTCTCTCTCTCTCTGTTATATGTATGTTACGTTATGCTTGATACAAAGTTCATAAACGTCATCTATATTTCTCTCTCTCTCTCTCTCTCTCTCTCTCTCTCTCTCTCTCTCTC